AATTCAACGCCCATCAGAGTAGCGGAGCATACAACAACAAATTTCGTGTCATTGTAACTGATAACGATATTTCTAATCCAAACTCTTGATATGGTTTAAATTGGATGATTTTGGTCTTATTGAGGTTAAGTTGCAGGTTGTGGGATTCCATCCAGATATATTGATTTGATATGTCCACGTTTCGGTATAATTTTTACTTAGTAGTTATGTCAAGCATCCACTCCATAACTTTGACACGCTTTGCCTGTAATATTTTGATTGATTGACAAAATAAAAATTAATGCCCATTATTTTCTGTTAATCTGACTTAGAATAAATGATATTCCGTTTAATTTTCCCTATCGCCATCCTTGCTCTTGATATAATATAGTAGCAGCGCCAGTTTGGGGAAGTAACCTCTATCTACCTTACAGATCACATTAAATGAGTCTTTCATTTATAAACAGCTTAACACATTTTAATGAACTTTGATATTGAGATAAAGATTCTTGGAGAACGACATAATAATATGCTGCATTCAGTCAAGAAAATAAATAATATGGAAGGGGCTGAGTTTTGTATAGAAAACCAATTGTTCCACACAGAGGATAGCGTGGGCATTCACTAATATTAGGTCCTTACATACGAAATTGGCGTTTTGTACGGGAGGAATATAAAGTTTTTTTTTTGTTAAACATATTTAATTAATCAAAGTATACACCGTTGTTATCTATGCACTTTTGCCTTCTTATAGGTAGCTCATTGATGCCTTTAATAAAAAGAAACATGGGGGCGAGAATTAATAAACTTTTTGAAGGCGGTTCGGACTGCCGCATCGGCGTTGAAATTTTTTCTTTGTAAAAAGTTGTCCATATTCCGCAAAAAATTGCTAATCTGTTGGAGCAGGGTCCGGCAAGTACGGTGGATGTCGCAGACATTCCAATTGTAGCTCATCTAACTTAGTGGTTGTTTGTTGTGCAGTGTGTGATCTTGCGTTGTCGTGAAGCAGCAGTGGCCTAGAGCGATTGACCAATCTCGTTTGTTTAGCAGCTAGTTCCTCCTTCATGGTTTGCAGTTGCTGACAATAGATATCTGCCGTAATCGTTTGGCCAGATTTTATAAAGCTGTAGTGAACGACACCCGCGCTAGTCCATCAAACACTCACAAGTAACTTTTTCTGAGTCAATTTTCGTTTTGGGCGGGATTTGGCTGGGTCTCCAGGGTTCAGCCATTGCGACGAGCGCTGCCGATTATCGTAAAGTATCCAGCTTTCATCACATTTCATTCGGTTTAAAATCCCTTCATTATTGAATTGAAGAGAAGGGGTGAAATAAGATTTTTGTGCACTATTAACTGAAAATAACTTCTTCTTTACATTTGAACATCTAGCAGTTAAATGCTTAAAAAATGAAAACATAACTATAAATGATATTTCTTCTTTCAAATGTTTTTAATACTTGTAAAAGTATTCATTTGACATTGTGGGTTACCTACAATGCGAAGAGATGGTGCAGCCTTGCAGCTTAAGTGCTTGCCCACGGAGACGGACTAGGAGCGGTTGCGGGTGGCGGCAGCGGTTGGCTTATTAAACAAATGTATGAGAATGTATGAAGTATGCCACGACACGCGCGCGGCGGGCTAGAGCGGCTGAGGCTGGCGGCGGCGGTTCGGGACAGCGGTAGCGGGCCAGCCGGGCGGGTGGAAACAAAGCTATGGGCTAGTTTGCGCATGGCCACGGTGCACAGCGGTTTTTCGGGCGGTTGAAAACGGCTAGCGTGGGACGGATCGAGTCGAACAAAATTTTTTGGACGAATTTAAGAGCGGCAGCATTTACTATGGACACTGAAGCTTTTATCACACAAATATTATACCGACCACCTATATGGATTTCAAAGCATCCACAACATAAGTACAAAAATGTAATAAAAAGACTATGGGAAGAAATCAAACAGTTTTTTCCAGATCAGGACCGTAACTTTTATTGTTCAAACAGTATTTTTGTCTGAAGTCTTTTGCTGCACCAGTAATTTTGTTGTATTATATTTTATTTTAGTCATGGTCAACAACAGTCTACACCTACACGTGAAATCCCAATTTGTAAACAAACAAAAGAAAGAATTTCTTAGAAAGTTTGGTTTGGTTTTACTCTTTTGGATTTTACGTTGCGTTTCAAATGAACTTCAATATGTTGAAGTATATAATCAAAAGTTCCAATACTCATTCTAGTGTACTCATAAAATTTGTCCGGATACTTCCTATAATCTGCATAAAGGTTCAAAAATTCGCCACTTTTATGACGACCTTTATTTAATACATGCACTCCGTCTCTTGAATTTAAAATGTCGTGCATAAAATACGAACTGCTATCAAGGCAACTACGCATCACTTTAGTTAGAGCCATCCTCACTACGTCCACTTTAGTCAGCCGCTGTAGCCGCTACTGAATGTACGTGGCATGCCACCCGCACCCGCAGAAGTCACCCGCACCCGCGCTTAGCCTAGCCCGTCTACGTGGCCAAGCCGTAAGGCCGCGGTAGCATAATTGGTCCGTGCATTCGCCCGGCTAGTGAAGGATGCGGGTTTGAGTCCCGTCTGCTGCCTGGTCCGCGTGGATTCTTTTCTAGTAAAACTATTCTTTAGATTTGCACATCTAGCAGTTAATTGCTTAAAAAATAAAAATATAACTGAAAATAACTTACCAAGTTTCATATAAAGTTTTCAAACGATATCTGTCGCAGCCATCTAGTTAAATAAGCCAGCCAATTCGACGCCTAGGCAGTTCATTAAACGTCGACATCCAATTAAATCACTACGCCGATAGTGAATTATCCTTGTATCACTCAACGTTTTACGACTTGGCGTATTGAAAGTTAGCCTGTTGGCAACTGACCAAGACTCAGAAGTGATTCAAATTTATTTCATTTTTTTTGCTACTGTATGCTAGTAGGTAGTTATCAAAACAAGTGTGGTATCCATAGAGCAACAGTGTCTTATTTTTGTTCGCGGTGTATTTTTTAATGAAAATACAATAAAGTGAGATATTGTCAAACTCGTATAGAAATATGGAGGTAGAAAATAATACAACATATTTTTGTAGTTTTTACTAGAAACTTGCAGTCAGAACTACTCAAACAGAAATTTGCACTTTTATTAGAAACCCCTAAGTAATTTTAAAAGATCTATTCCACACGATGGGATAAAAGATTGAAAAAAAGTCATTCATCCGCAGGTTACATGTAGGGGAGCTACCCTAAAAAACTTCTTTCTACCATTTTGTCGAGGTGATCGATATACATAATATCTCCACAAAATTACAGCTCTCTAGTGCTAATAGTCTCCAAACAAAACCGGAGACAGACAGACGGACATGACGAAACTATAAGGGTTCCTTGTCAGGATTACAGAATCCTAAAAAGTAGTCGTACATAATTTGTGAGCTTATGGTCGCCCTAACCAAACATTGTTAAATCATCTATTTGTAATTTAACTAAATGATGTTCAGCCATTTGGTTAAACATTTTGCTCAATGAATTGGCTAATTGTTATTCAGCTATTTGATTAGATGCCGGCTTTTAGCTAATGGGCCACGCTAATAACTAAATTCCTAATTTGATAGTTGGTTGTGACATATCTAATTTACACAATTAAATAAAATTGCTGATAATGATACCTAATTCTTCTAAGATTTTAATACCTCAAAGACCTCCATGGTGGAGTGCTTCATACACCAGTTTTCGTAGTGACTCCTACTCAGAAGTCCTGGGTTCAAATCCCATTGGAGCAATTAATGAACATTAAGAAAACTTTTTCGAAGGTAGCTACTCAAAATAATATGATAATATTCTTGTGTACATAGAACCTGCAAAGTATTCGAAATGTCGGCAACAAGTAAAATATTAAAAAGCAATTATGGTGTGAGTGAAACATCCTACTTACATTATAAATGTGAAAGTTTGTATGTTTGTTGCTCAATCATGCAAAAACTACTGAACAGATTTGGATCAAAAGACAATGGGCAAAGTGCACCCAGCGCCGCCAACAATGTAATTAGTATGAATCGATAGATCTATGAAAAACTAGCCTTTTTTATTATGACACCGAAAATAAATATCCTGGGAGTCAAAAGATATGACACCATAAAAAATATCCTGGTAGTCAATAGATATGACATATGGGCATATTTAAGTAGCTGAATAAATTCATTTGATAGTACCTTAATTTTATTTTATTAGTAATCATAATAATATATCGTACTATACAACCAGATACACGACCAAGCCTGCCGACCATCCTGCGCTTGCTCTTACTGAGACATTTTATAACGGTTTAGGGATGGTGAAGAAACGGTTTACGGATTAAGTTACAATTCTGGCTCATAAAACATCTAATAATCCTCGTGGCAGTTTTTAAATCACAACTTTCCGTGAAAAAATATTTTAAATTTGATAATATTGACTAAGTCAGATTTCTGAATGAGTGTCAGCTTGGATTGCATGTCTTTTTATATGTAAAAACAACTGAATTATTTTATTATTTTATGTTCTAATTCTAATTTTAAAATTTAGAATCTTATCAGAAAAAGAAATTACAAAAAAGTCTTCTGTATCACAAAAAACAATCTATTTTTCTTAGTGTTTGCAAACTATTTTTGATATGTGTAGGATACTTGCTATCCTGGAATTTTTTTGTTCCTGTGAAAATTTATACGGGCGGCCCCTGGTGGCCGCTAGTAATAAATAAAAATGGTTGTATAATCAATACCAGCATTTGTACTTTACCTAAGGCATACTTTCTAAAAAAAAACTTCTAATTTATGTATCACTTTATGTATGCTTCTTTAAGTTGCCCTAGTACCCCATAACACAAGTTTAAAGTAACTTTGATGCTAGTTACTATGTTAGAAATATTTATTAAGGATATATTTTTTTCCTTAACAAAACTTGTGAGGAGAACAAACCACAGAGAAACATGTAGGCTATTGCAGCCAATTTGTACAGTAGGTAATAAATAAATCTACATACCAAGTTTCATTATAAACAAGCTTCTGCATGTGACTTTGTCTGCATAATAGGTAGTTTCTGAGTTGACTGCCCAACGGGAATCTAAATTAATACAGAATAAAAAAAATCCTTTGTCTCAACCCAGGTTATAAACTATAATGTTCTTTAAATTTCATCACAATCAGTTCAACAATTTTTCCTTAATTTTTGTAACAAACATTGAATCTGTCATATTTAGTAGAATAATTGTTGTTATTGTTTGTCATGCGTCTAGGTATACATTTTTGATTAACAATGGTAAATTTCAATTAATTTACATAAAAAACTTAATATAATACAACTATACAATTTATAGTGAACTAGGCTACAAACACTCGATCGGTAGTACAGTACAGTCGTGTATGTAATGGGATTCTTAGAAAGCTGTTCACTCGTATGCACAGTCATGGTTCAAGCAACCTACTTTTTTGTTTTTACGCTTATTTATTTATTGATGTAGAGCCCACCCCAAAAAGCCAGTACTATTGTACAAATTAAGCTGTTAACGGCTTCCCAAAAACATCAAAACATCGACAAATTTTCGCAACAAATATTCATGACTAAAATCTTTTGTTGTTTTATTGTGACGATTTTAAGGTCAAAACTTACACAGATACACAAATTCTATTTTGGGGATGGTTCGAGTTATCTGACATGGAAAATGAAGATAACGAGTGTAAGTTAACTGAAATGATTTCAAAGAAAACATATTTGTACGCAAAGGCCAGGAAAACTCACGTTGCCTTCAATTTATGAGAGAATATGTTTGTCTTCATGTCGACGTGTTTAGGATATAGCACATGTATCAAACTTACCAATTACATAAAGCTTGTATTGAATACTGGAAATTATACACTAACTGTCAATTCAACTCATAATAAACGAAAGAAATCTACACTAATTTCTAAACAACCCAACAGTCGCCAACAACAAGGCAGCCATATTTAGCAAGATGGCGTTCCAAAAAGTTGCTACAGATAAAATATAAATTGCTAGGGAAAAAAGATATATGCACACTGTAAAGCCAGAAACATATTAACGTGTCCTGTTGTGACACGCTAGAAGAACATCGGTTTCATCACATACATTTACTATGGCTAGAGTTGGGCTAGAGATATAGGTAGTTTTCCAATTACAAAGCATAATGCGACTCAGTGGCGCATTATGCTTACTGCGCACTTTTCAAATGCACCAGCAGAGAGCGCTAAGTTCAGTGTTGAAAAAAAATACAATGCAACGAAAGCTTTAAAAAAATTTCAACAATAAACAATATTACTAACGATAAATAAAACATTTCGATCAATGCCAACTTAAAGAAAAACACTTAATTTTCTGTTACTGAGTTGGTACGATTGCAAGCATCACACGAAAACATTACTTTTGAGAGTGCCTGACTGTGCGAAGCGTTGCTGTAGTTGAAACATTCAACGATAAGCATTATGCCGCATAATGCGCTCTAGTGCTGTAATTGGAAAACTATCATATTTACGTATCATGTCGTGTCGACTCTCTAACCCCTTTCTTTCTCTCTAACCCATAATAAATGTATGAAACCGATGGGTAAGGATAAGCCTACATACGTTAATATGTTTCTGAATTAAAGGAGAGGGTTTCTGAATGAAATATTAATTTTAAAATGACTGATATCGAAAAAACGAGACATGTAAAGGCAGAAACATATTTACGTGTCATGACGCGCCACAAGCACTCACTGTAAATACAAGAGACGTTGACAACCTATGTACTTGGTCACAGTAGGAACTCAAAATGGTGATCGTAAATTAGCATTTCAACGAGGTCACTTTATAATGTTGCCGTTATTAGTTCAGGGAAATATAATGTCGTCTCGCGTGAAGTATTGTAGGATACGTTGTATCTCTTACTAGTCTGTGATTGTAGGTTAGTTTAAATGAGATGGCTACAAGTTTATGAGTACAATGGTGTCAATTCTGCCATGATTCTCTAAACTTAAACTTAAATTTAACAACAGTGTATCCCTGTCATTCTCTTTACCGAATGAAAATAAGAGACTGATGTAAAATTTAGTTTTAGGTTTAGAGAATCACGCCAGAATCGACACCAATGTCGATATCAATCATATTTGTTTATCAGATTGTCCATAAGAATACTATGGCATCTCCATAGGCTTAAGTACTCAGAAGTAAAATACAATACAGAAACATTCCGTATAATGGTGTCGATTCTGGCATGATTCTCTAAACTTAAAACTAAATTTGACATCAGTCTCTCCTTTCCATTCTTTTAAGAGCGTGACAAGTATGCATAAGCTGTTGTCAAATTTAAGTTTAGGTTTAGAGGATAATGCCAGAATCGATACCAATACCCGACTATTATTACTATTTGAAGAAATTATTACTTGATATTTTTTTTATAAATACACAGGTGTCGATTCTAGCATGATTCTCTAAACCTAAACTTAAATTTGACAGCAGTATATCTTTGTCATTCTCTATACAGAATGAAAAGGAGACACTGATGTTTAATTTAGTTTTAAGTTTAGAGAATCACGCTAGAATTGGCACCACAGTCTCGTCTGAAGAGCATGTTTTAACAAAACTTCAACCTATTTCTATTTGACTCTAAACAATTTACCTATATGGATTCATAAGTTGAACATGAATCTGAATTAAGTTATGAATGATAGTGCTAGTGGCCCTGGAGCCTGGACCATAATATTGCAAGTTTAGTCAAAACAGATAAAAAATATATGTAAGCGTAGCGAAATCCTATGCCCAAAAAATGGTGATAACAAAACACATTCGGATGCGTTCACACTATTCATTATTTTTGCGCATGTCCATTGGCAGATTTTTAGTGTGACGTATCCTCAACGTATCACAAAACTCCGTTGAATTTGTTCACATATCACTATCTCGTTTGTTGAAATACAGAAAGAAAGGGATTGGTATAGTGCCGGTTGATGTTTTCGTGTCAGCCTTGTGCCCATTTACGAGGAGTAGGTAAATCCGCCATCTTGAGAGTGAGTTCAAGAATGTGAGGACTTTTAGCGGAGATAAGTGAATATCTTTAATAATTTTAATATTAAATGGATGAACATTTTATCAGCACAATATTAATATTAGTATATACAAGCCGGTCGCAATAAAAATATCGAGTTACGCGTCGGTTCGGGGCTGAAACGCCGAATTCCTTCATAGTGTTTATGTGACAGGAGAAGACACCGTAAGCTTTCTAATAGTTTTTTGCGTGTCTATTTCCGTTTTCCATCTCGACGATCGTTAATATATCGTGAAAGTGTTAGCAATAGTAAGAACTTCGTTCAGCCGCGTTTGTAGGGCTTTACTATGTATTTCTCTGGTGGAAAATGCGGTTAGATGGGCGTTGTTGGTCGTTCCTTGGTGTTGTGTCGGCGTCCTGGTGAAGTCCTGGGCCGGTCGGGCGAGGGGAACGCGCGGCCGTCGCGGAGGATGCGAGCGGTGACAGTGGGCTAGCGATTTGATAAGTGTTTGAACTGGTGTACTTGTGATAATGTCGACGACTATGAGGCCCACCCTCCAGACTGTGCCGGAGTCCCTCCCGGCGGACCATGTGACGGCCCCGACTCCTGCCCCGGCGGTCACTACCACTACTACGGCGCCGTCACGGGAGAGACAAGTTTATTCGGTAAGTCCTCAATTTCTACAGAGATTCTCCTGTCCAGTGCTGAGTTAATGAGATTACATATTTTTTTTAATTTATTTGACATCTACTTGGTCTGAAAGGGCTTTGGATCCTCGGTATACTTACTAAACACTAGTTTCATAGAGCTACAATACAATCAAATGAATTAGTTTAAAATGTTGTAAAATTGAAGTAATGAATTAGTTTAAAATGTTAATAAATTTTTAATCACTTACTTTATTCTGTAAAACTTTACTATAATATTAAAATTTAACAAGAGTATGTAGCCTAGATTTATGAGAAAGTTTTGTCATGGTACGCTGACTGACTGCTGAAACATTCTTAGAACTAGAGCTCCCAAATTTCAGTAGTGTTGTTGTGACATTAAATGTATTTTTTTAAAATGTCGCTAAATAATATATAATACTTAATTATTGAGTAGTTCCAACAACTTTTAATATAGCTTTTAAAAACTCATAATTTGATTGATTGAAATAATGAAAACCTATTTGAAAAGGTAACTTGTATACGAGTCATTTGCTCAGACCTACTATGAAAAAAATAACTTACAACTATGTTTATTTTCTAAGTTTATAAAAGCATTGTCATTTTAATAACTATAATTATACTTTTTTAAACTATCCTCATTAACTCAGCATTGCAAGCTTTGCTTTTAGTTATGTTTTGCTAGCAAAATCCACTTCACAACCCATAATATGAAAAACGTACAAATATATCACGTTAATGTAGGTATTGTAGTTAACTTACATGTCATTATTGAAAACCAGACATGCTAAAAATGTGTCATCATTTAAAAACACAATATGGGTGTAACATATGATAATGAATACACAGATCTATTTGTTAAATTCATAATATTAGGGTGATAGGAGAATCTCTATTTACTATGCTTTTGCATTATGTGACTTGTTCTGTCTGCTATGATAAATATTTTGTGTTGTTATGTCTGAATATTATAAACTATATGTTGAAACATTAACTCACATTATCTTAATACAATCAATAGATGCGATAAGATCTATAAACAATGATAAGATTGTAAAATGTAGGAATAGAATTTGTATGATATTACATAAGAAGTGGTCTCAATTGGACAATGTTTACTCTGCCAGTGGAAACATATTATGCAAAAGCCACACATATCAATGAAGTCCTATTCATCTCATGTAAACATATCTTATTCAGTTATACATTTCCTTAGGGAAATCAAAACATGTTGGGTTCATAATGGTGAAATGGGTTTGTTTCTAAAGATATGTTATCTAAAATTGCATTTTCTTTTAGGTCATAAAAGTTATAATAATTGTATATAAATAAACAATACATTAGGGTGGTATGTGAAACAAATGATAAGATAAAGGTACTTACATATAAGAGAAAAGATATACACTGTATACAATATTTCTAT